AACCGGATATTGATTCGACATTGGTTGTTTTGTTTGTTTATTTGCTCTGGTGATGGGAACATGGAAAGGAGCCGTCCTCCCCGTGCACAGGACCCTGGCAGACCAGGGGTCCGGTGCCGCGCTTTGCAGGACCCTCGGGTCGGCCTGCTGGTCACCGTCACCCAGCGCAGTCTGCACCTGCGGAAGTGTTGCCCGAGCCCTGTCTGTCAGGCCCTGCAGACTCGCTCAGGCCAGCCCCTCGGAGTGTGAAGGCCCGGAATCCGTTTCTATCCTATTTCTCCCCATTGAACTGAAAGCCAGATTTCCCATCTGTCTGGTCGGAGGTGCATCAAGTCGTCCCTGGGAGTTGGTGAGTCACAGCGTCAGCCTGCAGGGCCGTGGGGCAGAGGGGTTAAGCATACCGTGAGCAGCTGGCATCTTCCTTCTCGGAACCCCGACAGACGGCGAGAGGAGACGGGACGGGCACGTACCCAGAAGCTGCTTTCTTCCCAGGCTCCCTCCCCCAAACACAAGTTTTTGTGTGTTTTTTTGAGATGGAGTCTCACTCTGTTGCCCAGGCTGGAGTGCAGTGGCACGAACTCGGCTCGCTGCAACCTCCACCTCCGCCGCCTGGGTTCAGCGATCCTCCTGCCTCAGTCTCTTGAGTGGCTGGGATTACAGGCACCCACCACCACACCCGGCTAGTTTTTGTATTTTTAGTAGAGACGGGGTTTCGCCATGTTGGCCAGGCTGGTCTCAAACTCCTGACCTCAGGTGATCCACCTGCCTTGGCCTCCCAAAGTGCTTGGATTACAGGCATGAGCCACCGTGCCCGGCCTAAAAACAAGTTTTATTGCAAATTTGGAACAGGCCTCGGAGAAGGGCTCTGAGAATTGAGACCGAAGTTCCCTTAGTGGGCTGAATGATTTCTGGGTTTCTATGCCGTTTCCATGTTGGAGCCTGATTGGATAAAAAGGAGTACAGCCTCCAGTACTGGCTGCTGAGCAAGGCAGCCCTGTGCACTGGGGAATTTTCAGCTAGGGTTTTTCATGAGCAGTTAGAGAACTAATTGGAACAGCAATTCTCCCAGTCCAAACCCCGTTCTAGGGGCCGGTTGTTCTTTCTTCGTGTCTTTCCAGAGAGGGTGGTCATTCTGGACGTGGTATCTCAACCAGCCAAACAGTTCTCTTCCAGTCAGTGGAGTTGGGCTGGCTGGAACATCTGTACTGCCTCATTCCGGGCTTTTTGTGACCAGGAATATACTTGTTCATTCATTCACATTTGCTCATTCATTCACTGAAACTATTTGTGCAAGGTCCTGGGGTTACAGTGAATAACGGAGACGTGGTTCCTATCCTCCCAGAGACCTCAGTCTAGCAGGAGAGACAGGCATGGAACGTTTACAAGAGTACTGCGCATTGAGAAGGAGGGAGCGACGCAGGCCTTCCTGATCTGGTGGGTAGGGAAAGCTCCCTGGAAGACGAGATATTTAAGTTAAGACCAGAATGGGTGAGTAGGAGTTACCCAGGCAGAGTGGGGGTAGAGCATTTTCGCCAGAGATACCAACCTATGCAAAAGTTCCGAGACAGGAAAAAGTAGAAGACAGCAAGGAGCAGAATGTGCCCGATGAAGCTGAAAGGGGTGCGGAGGCCCGGCCACAGGGCCCTTAGTCCACCAAAAGGATGTGTGGGTCTCTATCCTGACAGCAGTGACTCGGGAGGCTGAGGCGGGAGAATCACTTGAACCCGGGAGGTGGAGGTTGCAGTGAGCCGCCGAGATTGCACCATTGCACTCCAGCCTGGGGGACAAGAGCAAGACTCCATCTTAAAAAAAAAAAAAAAAAGGCTGGGCGCGGTGGCTCACGCCTGTAATCCCAGCACTTTGGGAGGCTGAGACGGGCGGATCACGAGGTCAGGAGATCGAGACCATCCTGGCTAACACGGTGAAACCCCGTCTCTACTAAAATACAAAAAAATTAGCTGGGCGTGGTGGCGGACGCCTGTAGTTCCAGCTACTCGGGAGGCTGAGGCAGGATAATGGCGTGAACCTGGGAGGCGGAGCTTGCGGTGAGCTGAGATCGCGCCACTCACTCCAGCCTGGGCGACAGAGACACCGTCTCAAAAAAAAAAAAAAAAGGAAGCCATAGACAGCTCTTAGTAAGAGGAATGACATGCCACGTGTTTTAGGATGTTTTAGAGCAATTCTTTAGTTGCTATGAGACGCTGAGAAACTCTTCCCTCTAATTGATCTTCATATCTTTGATGTCAGTCTCGTGAGCCTGGGACGGCTCCAACCAACGGACCCAGCCAAAACGTGGCCACTGTGGCCGGAGTCTCACCCTTCTTCACTCTGCTTTCGGGAGAACACGGGTCACGTGTGCTCGTTTCTCGTGCCAGCTCCTGGCACCGGCCTGTGTGTTCATGAGACTGAACTGACCAGCTCGGCACGAGGGCGCCAAGAGCTTGGGGAAGAGGAAATTAGGAGTCACGAGGTTTCACGATCAGAACCCGAAAGTGCCTTATGGAAAATTTGCATGTCCTGGGTGCAGCTCAGCCTAAGAGGACCCGGTGCGGTGTGTGTGTCTGGCTTCTGGGAGGGGCATCCAGAGGCACCGGCTTCCCTTGTGAAGGTGGCTGGGTCAGACTGCCCCCTCTCTCCACCCCTAAGTTTATGAAGGTGAAATTTAGTTAGGAAGGACATCCAAAGCAGCGTGATGGGGAAGGAGGACCAGCTAGGGGTGGGGTGAGAGCTTGCCTTCCGCCATCCTCCGTTTTCCCAAACCGGGTAGAGTTCTCAATGCTGTTGGCATTTATGACAGATGTTCTTGAGGGCAAGTCCTGCAGGACATTTTAACATTTCTGGCTTCTGCCTTTGGAGCGGAGCTTGCAGTGAATCTGATATCCGGCCCACTTTGCAACTCCAGCCTGGTCGACAGACGCGAGACTTGCCGTCTCAAAAAAAAAAAAAAAAGAGATCGGAGACCATCCTGGCTATACACATGGTGAAACTCCATCTCTACCTAAAAATACAAAAAATTAGCCAGGCGTGTGTGGGTGGGGCACCTGTAGTCCCAGGCTATCTTGGGAGGCTGAGGGCAGGAGAATCACTTGAACCCACTGGCGGGAGAGCTTGCAGTGAGCTGAGATGGCACCACTGCACTCCAGCCTGGCGACAGAGTGAGACTCCGTCTCACAAAAAAAAAAAACAAAGGGTTCATAATAACTAGGGTCGCTACTTAGCCTTCCA